TTTATAATTCATATTGTACTGTGCCATTTTAGATATGTACTTTTCTATTTCAATTCATATCATTGCAAAATTGTACTTTTCTTTTTAAAATATGATCATTTCAAATCCATATTTTTCTTATTCATATCAGACATTTGCCCACTGCATTATCATGAAAATACGATGTACGCGAGTCAGATAACGAGTGAGCGCACTATATACAAATTTTCTATCAAAACATATTGCACCGGGCGTGCACCACTAAGATATGTCGAGTTAGACCACGAGTGACCCATCTTGGTGCCATATAATGCACATATAAAGCTAATCAGATGCACCGAATCACTCCACCTCGTGCACCAATAAAGTACGCCAAGTCAGGCCACTAGTGATCCAAGTAGTGCTATATCAGAAACATATTCAGATTCACTCCACCTCATGACATGCCATTGTACCACTAACCCTCATTTTCATACAATGAGCTTTGTTCTAAATCAATTACTAATTTGCATATAAAACCATTCATCTATATAATCAAATATAAAACTATTTATATAAAATCAGATATGGGCAGTTCATACCCAAAAAATATTTACATGCTATGAAATAAAATACCGAATAAAATAATTTGGGTTATTCAAACCCAAAATCATATAAAAACCATTTATTAAATTAATATAAAGATATTTCATAAAATAATTGAAATTATTTTTAATCGAAAACCTTCGAGGTCAGCTCATCGCAAGTCGTCCTCGTATCGAGTATAAAATAAGTAAGTTGCACTCACTTGGTGCCTCACCAACTTATCCTACGATCACCTTTATAACCCTTGTATTCGGTTCATTTTGATCTCGATTATAATCACGAACTACTAGATCATCGATTTTCAACATATAAACGGTTCAGATACATTAGTACTCATACTATTATAATAAAATTAAATTAGAATCGAAATTCTAAAAATTCAACTAAGGAACATTCGATACTAATTTCTACCCCGAAATCGAAATCAACCTTAACTGAATTAAATTCACTCTTGAACTCCTTTCTTTTTTCTTTTTGCTCGTTTTGGTCTCAATTTTAGTCATGATCTACTTAAAAAATTAATTATTCGACATAAACAATTTCGAACAAGAATTAGTACTTTAATTATAATATTAAATTCGAATTTGAATAAATTCTAAAAAAATAGCCATCAATGCATATTCGATACTAATTTCCCTTCCCAAATTGAATAACCGCTTGTCCAAATTATATTATCCTGACCCCATCCCTCATATTAGAGAAATTCTACCGGGCGACAACCTTAATATACGACTAAGGAAAAACGTTAACGATTTTTGTTATTATTTTTTAAACAAAACAGGTAAAAAATTACCTAAAACATCAATGTTTTTTAACATTTCGGTAAAACGCACAATAATAACAAAACCGATAGAAATAATAATGTTTTATGTAATTTTTTACCGATTTTATTAAAAAAATAATAACAAAACCGATAATGTCTTTTTTAACCGTGTATTAGGACTGTCGGATGTGAGAATTTCCTCTCATATTACTTGGTGTCATATGTAAGCCTTTGATCGGTAAGAGACTATCCCTCATAAATTAAATATCAACTCTTCCCTTTTCGTGGGTTACAGGTGTATCACACCCATGTCTAATGTATATACGAACATAGGTATGTAAATATAACCCTTTATGGACCCTCTTAATATATTACCTAAACAAAGAATTCATCATCAATCAAAAATAATAATTTTATCAACTTAAAATAGATTTTACGAAATAATAAACTTTAAATCTTAAAGAGAAACACTCCGATCTGAAACAAGAAGAACGGCGTGATCCCCATGACAACGTCCGATAGCAAATGTGAATATATCCTTTCAATTTCTCACAAGCAGAGCCTTTTCTTTTCTTGTTTGTTTCACAACAATTTGATTCAATCAAAATTTCCAATCAATTTCACAAAATTCCAAAACCAAAACAACTTAAATTCAACCAATTCCTCACTAATTCCTTCAATGACAGAATGCTTCACTCTTATTTCTAATGATTTTCAATCTAATTTTATGTTAGTATTTTATTTTACAACACTCCTAACATCCATTCCTAACTTTAATTCCTTGAATTCAAGTCTCCCCTTCATCCACATAAATTACCCACTTCACCAATCAAGTAAGGAACCCATGAGATTTTACTACCAAATGAAAGAGAATTTAATTTAATCCAAAATCCTAAAAAATTGGACCCAAAAAAATGAAAAAGAAAACAAGCTTACCTTTGACTATGGAGTTTCGGCAGTTTGCTGAAGAAGGGGAGCAGATTTTCTACACAATTCTAATAAAAAATCTCTTATTTAATCTTTAAGAAAAAATATGAATTTTTAATACTTTTTGGTTCAAGAGTCTAAATTACCCTAAATGAATCCTCATTTTTACCTTCATGCCACTACTTTATATCCATTTTAATATTATTAAATAACTATGAAAATCTCAGCTCTCAAATTTTTTGACATTCCAATTTCAAAATTTTGTTTTAGTCACTAAATTATACTATTCCACTTTATAGTGCATTTCTCACCAAATTTCACCATTCCAACTTCATTTCTATTAATTAAAAATGTAAATATAATTTTTCAAACCCAAATATACCTTTCTTCAAATTTTTGGAGATTTTCGATTCGATTCGACGATCCGAATATCCTACTGATCCTTGTACTTTAATAAATTTTATGCAAACTCCAGATCAAAATTATGAAACCCACAAAAAAATTTTTGGACTAAAGTACTTATTTACAGACCCAAAACGTAACTTTTAAAAATTTATATTTTTAGTCTCTAAATTTTTACAACTTTACATTTTAGTCCCCAAACTTTCAAAAATTACATTTCAGTTACTATTCTAAATTTTGGGATATTACAACACCAACATTTACTTAATTACCATTTAGTTCCCAACTTTTCTAAAATTTGCAATTTGGTCTCTAAACTTGTACAACCTTCCAAATTGATCCAATTGAACCTTCTAACATTAAATTTCAACATAGTACAACAACTTTCTAACATTTTCATCTTAATCCTTCAATTTCTCAAAGTATGTGAAAAGGTCCCTATAACTTTACAATGTTCCAAATGGGTCCCAATAACTTTCCAAAGCATGTAGAATCATTCTTATATCAATTCTAACATTTAGGAAATTTTTGTCTATTTTCCCCTACTTTTTCTCAGCATGGTCAAATCTACCTATGGAACTTTAGCAAAGTTTTCAATTTGATTCAAGCATGAATTCATCATCTAAACACCAATCTCATATTCTTAATCATTTCCATATAAAAAACTAACCAAACTCAACATTTCCTCAAGAATTGTTAAGGTGGTCGAAACTTTATACAAGGGATTTCAAGTGATTCTGGTCATTACACAAACTTGGAAATGATTCTATAACATCACTAACATAAAAAATCAACCTTAAATCATCAAGTTTCAACTTCCCCTTCAACTACTATTTCATGAAATCACCACTCTAAGCATGAAAACATGAAATATTTCACCAACTTGTAAAGAATTTGATGTTGGTTAATTTTCTATTTCATGTCTTAATCCATAACCTAAGAAAATGGCTTAAAAATGAAAAAAGAAAGGTTGCTCACCGGCTACGGAGATACATGGTTTGAAGGGAAGAAGATGATAGAAATTTTCTTGATTCTTCCTTTAAAATATCTCTTTACACTCGTTAAAAGCTAATTAAAATGAATTTAAAATTCAATTTAGTCTAAAAGTCCTTTCTACCCTTTAAAATTCACGATAATTACCACCTTGCCATGCTACATAATGCTTCCATCACCATTCTTACATCATCATAAAAAATATCAACTAATATTTTATTACTTTTCATCTTGGCCCTATCATTTTTCCAAAAATTTTAATTTGGTCACTTTAATCCAACGGTCCCGATTTAACATGGAAAGTCAACTTAAATCCCATGATCCATGTTAAATTCTACTATTTAAAAATATGAAATAACATTATTAACCTTAAACAATCATCCTTTAAATTTTCGATTTGATCTGATTATCCGAGTATTTTATCAAACTTTATCGCTTAATATCCCTTTATACAAACCCCAGATAAAAAATATGAAAGCCACGAAAATATCATTCTTGGGGTGAACTATTCATTTACAGGATAAAAATTCTTTTTGAAAAATTATCACTTTGATTCTTGAACTTTTCCCAAATTTCTATTTTGACCACTAAACTTTCAAAATTTACATTTTGGCCACTGGTCTAAAATTTGGGATATTACACAATCATTTGACAACGAACGTTGAATCACCCAATGCATTCGTCAGTACTCAAATCCGTAACCTCTAAGAACAATATCGATTTCTTGATTCGTGCAATCTTAGTGCAATTGTATATCTATGTTTCTAAAAATAAATTGAATGCCATTTATTACTGTTCGCTTGGAAAGCCCCAAATCTTCAAATGTACTTTATAGTTGGTATAATGATAAAATTAACACATAATATTTGTATAAATAGTGATTTTACTTTAGCATTTTAATTACTAATATTTTAATTTTTGATTAAATAATTAATTTTAGGTGAAATTATTAGTTGATTAATGATTAACACATATTACTAACATGTATTTTCAGATATGTTTAATTGATATCGTGATATGTGTTACATAACCTAAAATGATGATGTGATACATATAACTTCATTAATTAAACATACGTAAAAATATCATATTAATAATATGAGTTGATAATTAACTAATTAATAATTTGTATTTAATAAAGAATATTTTAATTAAAAAATAAAACATTAAAAATTAAAATATTATAAAAAATAAAATGAATATAAAACGTTATAAGCTTCGTTTATCATTATGATTTATGACTTTATAGTCTATACCTCATGGAATATGGGCTCAGCCGTTCTTCTAAGAACAAAGCAGGCGACCCGGCCCTTATAAGTTTGCGGGTCATTATGGCGACAAAAATATCATCCGGACCCCTCCATACGGCTTTATCGCCAAGAGTACTGCAAATCAAAGCTTCATCTTTCTTCACTCATCTCACCACATGAACCATTATTTCCTCCTTCACTAAGGTTAAAAAAATGATGGCGGTTCGCGCCGTCAACGGTGGTTCTTTGTTTTGTTCCGTCGCATCACCTCCTCTATTGACGTTCTGTTGTCGTTTTCACCAATTATCCTCCTTACCGTTTCGCCGAAACTCTGAGTTAGGGCTTCGGTTTCCTATTTTTTGTTGCGGTAATCAGTTTCTAGGATATGGCGGGGGTCTTTCGCATTCGGCTCACAGTCTCGTTGATTGCGTCATGGAAGAGCTAACAGCTTGGCGCAGTCGCAGAAGAATTCGCGCCAGTGTCAAGTAATGTTTGAATTTTGGTTTCTTATTTTCTTTTCTTGGTGAAATTTGTATTCAAATCAAATTGAATTAGTAATTAGAACGCGATGAGCATATTTATGTTTAACCGCTTCATAACAAAAATAAAAAAAGAAGTAAAATGATGTAGAGTCTAGCTTATATCGTGATTGTACTGAATATGAAACATAATCTAAGAAATGCAGATTTTTGGCTGCAAGTTACTTGATTTTTGTTACTTCCATGACTTGTGAGATATTTAACATAATTTCTGCTACTTAATCAGGATGGATTTTAAACATTACTTGCATGTTTGATTTAGAGTAATTGTTTAAACTTGAGACTGAAAATTCATTTTCATATCGAACTCAGGTTAACCAGTAGTGGTGAGCTTCTTGAAGATAAGCTTGTCAATCGAGAATTAGAAAAGGGATTCCTGCTGGAGTTTAAGAAGGATACGGACAGGGTATTGCTTGGAGTTGCTCAGAGACCTGATGGGAAGAAGAATTGGATGGTGTACGATCAGGTTCTTGTAGAAACAACTCATGCGGCATGTTGGATAGGTTGCTAGGTGTTAGATTTCGTGTTTGTTATGCCAGATGTTTAGAATTTTCGAAATGTTTGAACTAATGTTACAGTTTGCTTTTCTTGTTATACAGAATGGTGTCACAACATCCATCAAACCTCAACAAATTACATATATTGTTCCAGGTGTAGAAAATTTTGATCAGACTGAGATCTCAAAATTTCTCCAAAAAGCTCATGAAAACTTGGTTCGTTCGACTTGCTCTTTGGATGGCAAACAGAAAATTTGTTGAGGGTTCTTTTTTGGTTTACTTTTTCACAAAATATTTTGGTGCAGGACCCAACATTATTGGAGATTGCTTGGGTTGAGCTTCTTGAAAAGAATGTGTCAGTGACAGCAGAAGAATTAGCCGAGGTACCATATTTTCATTTGAATGTGGACCTGTCTGCTTGTCCATTTGGTAACTTTATGTTACTGTGCAGATGATTTTTGGCAGTTCAGATCCTGTTGAGAGCTACTGTGCCCATCTTTTGCTATCAAATGATGCAGTATACTTCACTGTGCTGGCAACAAAAGGTTCTCGTTCCATTTATGGGCCTCGACCGACAGGACAAGTACATGCACAATATATGTTGGTTTAATGGTTGATTAAGTATGGTAGACTGCTCTTTTGACACAGATAAAATGCGTGGTCAAAGAGCTTCTATATATAAGTTGGACGAGTCAGATGAGTGAAGTTTTGTGCTAACCCATTCCTTTTATTGATTTTCATATCTAGGTGGAAGAACTTTTACACAAGAAGCTTGCCAAAGAGGCTGCTGAGAAAGAACTTCAGGACGTCGTGCAATTACTTGTGTCTGCAAAAGCAAAGCCTGCAGGTTCTAAACCTGCCAAATCTTCCTGGATGATGGATGAGAAAATCCGATACAAAATTGAGTCTCTTGAAGCATATGCTATTGATGCTTGCAACAGTGATGAGCAAAGGAAAACTGCTGGAATGGTAGTTTGTCTGACTTTATTGAGTTCTCCCGAATTTGGTATCGTAATGTTACCGTTGCGGTGTTGCCTTTGTAGGCAAGAAAAGAAATCAAAGGCATAAAAAATAGTAGAAGCCAAATAAGTATATTTAATTAATATTATTCATTAGAATAGTTTATTTTAGAATTACCTTAATAAAATAAAAGCCTTTAATTTTAGTTTCCTTTTATGAAGAATAGACCCTATGTAACGTCTATTTAAGGGGGATGAATCTGAGTAATAAGACAAGCCGAATTTTGAAGTCTTTCTTTGTTAGGAGCTCACACCGACGATTTACAAGGTTAGGAGCTCTCTTCAAAAATTTATCATAGATTCTTCTCATGGTCGAAATCTCAACAAGGAAAAGGCTCCCTTAATCGGAGCCGACTTTTTGTGTATCGTCCGGGACTCAATCCAGACCTCTGACCTTAACACATAATCTGTATTGTAATAATAGCAGGCTAATTAAGACAATCTGGTTACCATAAGATCATAGATTTTAATTTGAAGGGGAAATTTATGATTTATTTTTCACTTTATTTTATTTGCATTTATATAAAATAACATGGTTAATTTCCTGTTCTCTTATTCTTGTCAGATCCTGAAGGCAATGGGACTCACAAAAACGTCATACTCTGCAATAAACCTCCTCATAAAGATTGGTTATTTTCCTGCGCATGTAAATCTCGATCTGTTAAAGTTAAACATTCGTACAAACCATTCTGATGAGATTATAGCTGCTGCTGAAAGTATTTTGTCTGAATCACCTGACTCAGATGAGGTAATCTGGCTTCCATCTCTACTGAGATTCCATTTTGTTTTACTATAAAAGTATTAAGCTTATGATATCTACAAGTCAAAAATCAGCTTTTGGTCTACAGAAATGTTTCTTCCACTAATAACTGAATGAGTCTCTACAGTGTTAAATGTGAACCGATGAAGGATTTTATATTGTTTATATTTTTATCATGCATTCATTTAGTTTTCTTTGTTGTTAGATGAACAGAGAGGATCTTACTCACTTGAAGGTTTATGCTATTGATGTTGATGAGGCTGATGAGGTAGTTGCCACCACTTTCTCGACACAAGTTCTATTTCCTTGTTGTATCAAATTTTATTCTGATTTGTTTTTTTTTGGGTAGCTTGATGATGCCTTAAGTGCTACAAAGTTGCAAGATGGACGCGTGAAAATATGGATACATGTTGCGGACCCAACTAGATATGTTGAACCTGGGAGCATAGTAGACAGGTATTTTTTTTGAAATTGTGTAGACTAGAACAATTTTATTTGATCATTTTTTTAATACTCAATCATGTTTAGGGAAGCACTGAGAAGAGGAACCTCTGTTTTCTTGCCAACTGTAACTTTTCCTATGTTTCCTGATAAACTTGCCATGGAGGGGATGAGTTTGAAACAAGGAGAACTTTGCAAAGCTGTCAGTGTTTCTGTTATCTTGCACTCTGATGGCAGGTAAAGTGTGAATTTACTATTTTGCTTCTTTTCAGAGTAGAAACATTTTACAATCTCTATGTTTATGCTTACATTAAATTGGAGGGTGGTGGGACAGCATGTTAGGCTTTATAAGCCATAAGACTAAGAAATGTGATGGGGGTATGTATTTTAATATTTTCAAGGAGTGTGGAGCAATATGTTTATGTTAGGCTCTATGAGCCATAAAACTGAATCGGCACTGTGATGGGGGTATAAATTGCAATCTTTCCACATAGTACAATGTCCTAGTAAGTAACTTTTTTGTGCTTCCATAGGACTTTGAGTTGAGTTACATATTCATTTGTTTGGAGTAAACTTGTTCACTATTTGTAACTATTGTTGCCAAAACTGCATCTTTATAGAACGGAAAATAATAATACTCGTCATTTCTTTTCTGATCTCTTTATTTGTGCGTCTACCTGTGTGTATGCTCTTTGATTGCTTGCATTTTGGACACAATAAACTGTTCCAGTTTTTATATTTGGCTTTTTTAGATGTTAGTTTATGATTTTATTAATGAAGACTATCTGACATGTCAGTGGTAGTAAAGCATTGCAGAGTATTCAGTTCAAAACTCAATCATTAAACCAACTTATATGCTGACCTATGAGAGTGCAACTGAACTACTTCATTTGAACCTAGAAGAGGAGGCTGAACTGAAGATTCTATCTGAAGCAGCTTCTCTAAGGTTAAAATGGCGTCGCCAGCAGGTTGGGCTGTACTTGATTATCATTTTAATTGCTATGGGTTTAATTTTGTTCTGTGTAAGACGGACTTTTTCTGATTTTACATCCCTAACACTCCTTTGGCATTCTTATTTTGCAGGGTGCAATTGATACATCCACCCTAGAAACTCGCATCAAAGTAATTAACCCAGATGATCCTGATCCATCAATTAATCTTTATGTTGAAAACCAGGCAGACCCTGCAATGCGGCTTGTTTCTGAGATGATGATACTCTGTGGAGAAGCTGTAGCCACATTTGGATCTTGTAATAACATTCCTTTACCCTATCGAGGACAGCCGCAGTCTAATATTGATGTATCTGAATATTCACATCTTCCTGAAGGGCCAGTTCGAAGCTCTGCCGTTATTAGAATAATGCGTGCAGCTGAAACTGATTTCAGGAAGCCTATTCGTCATGGGGTTCTTGGGCTTCCTGGTTACGTTCAGTTTACATCACCCATCCGCAGATATTTGGATCTCCTTGCTCATTATCAGGTCTTTTCTCTACTCTTCCAGATATATCAATTGTAAGAAACTTTCTTGTGGTGCCTTCTATTAACTATTAAGGATGTTTGTTGCTAATATTGTTCATCATACTTGACTTTTACATTATGGGTGTGTTTGCCATCATTGTTATTTTTATTATTGTCATTGTTATCATCATTGTATTACAAGTGTAAATGTTTTGATACCAATTTTGACATTGTCGTGCTGCGAGGAAGGATACAATATCTTGTTTGAAAATGCCTGCAACATTTTCATATTTCCATGTAGGTGAAGGCATTTCTTAGAGGTGAATCTCCACCTTTTTCAGCTGGTCAGCTAGAAGGGATGGCATCAATGGTAAACATGCAGGTTAGATCAATAAGGAAGATCTCGGCCAGCAGTCTCCGGTATTGGATAATAGAGTATCTGAGCAGGCAACCGAAGGAGAGAAAATATCAAGCATTGATCCTCCGATTTATGAAAGACAGGATTGCATCCTTGTTTCTTGTTGAGGCAAGGATATTTAGTAGTCATTTCTGTGATCGTTACATATAAGAAAGTACTAATACAACAGATTTGGATTGCATTAAGATTGACATTACGAGTTGAACATTCAATGTTGCAGGTGGGATTTCAAGGATCTGCATGGGTGTCTATCGGATGTGAGGTAGGAGATGAAGTTGAAGTTCGAGTTGAATCCGCGAGTTCTCGTGAAGATTATGTTCTCCTCAAGGAGGTTATTAGAGCTGAAAGTGCTTGATTCGTTCGAAGAAACTCATCGCTGTAGAGACATGGCAACCCCACAGGATGCTAGATCATTTATGACTTTCATAATAATAGATATACATGTCCTACAAGTTTATGTTAATTAGGTATGCAAGCTGGTTGTAAAACAATGAGCATTTCCGAACCGATCATTACTTTTCTGGTTATTTAACCTATAAAGGGTTTGGTTTTGGCATTAATATCAACAGCCAACGGTGCCTCGTTTTAGGGGCTTTACTTTCATCAACAAAAACGCATCAAGGCTCGTGCTTGTAGATGACGTTTTAGCCATTGCCTTTCCAACTCAACTAAATATAAAATGTTGTACTTATTTGTCAAAAGTATTTTTGATTCAAAATCAGTGTTGATACTTGTGAAGGAAAAATATTTTTAAATCGGATACAATTATTTTAAAAAAAATATACATTTTGATAAAAAAAATTGGATATAAAATTATGAAAACACTTTTCAAAAGCATTTTTTTTAACTACAATAGCAATGGAAAACTAGAGATATGCTCTATGTTGTACTACTTTTAACTACGATAGTAATGGAAAACTAAACTCAAGATATACACTATACTGCTGGCGGTTTAGAATTTAAATTTTGAAATTAAATCTTAGATACAAATGCAATGATTGTTTTAAAATTGTCTCAATCAGCTGAAAGCCTGTATTGTTGCCCACTCCTATTACACACGTTGAAGTGCATGCTCATAAATTTACATCAAGATCTCGACCTATAAAAAATAATGGAAAAGAACCCCTCCGTAAGTGATAATAGGAAATATTTTGAATAGTAGTATTTGCATGGTGTTTATGAGTTGTCAATTAATTAAGAAAATTTTGGATAGTTACTACCTTAAATCCAGATTCATTAAGGGAATAAGGGAAGCTTGAGAGGTCCAAGATTTTGTTGGTAACTGAAACGAAGTAGTTATAACAGAGAATAGAAGCATGATTTAATCATAAAAGGTCCAAATTTTAAAACTTGGAAAAAATTTATAAAATTTTAGAAGGCAAAAATATATAAAAAAAAATTATATGATAGTTTAAAATTTTCAAGGGATGACCGGCCCTTTTTATTCTATCCCTAACTATAACGTTATTTACAGAATTTGCTAAACCCTATATTATAAAAATGAAGTAGGGGACCATGGAAGTTCCAACGAGAGGCACCATTGATTCATTTCATGACGACGCAGAATGCAGATAAGAGGATTTCTAGTATGTTGCCTATAAAAGGGTATCTCCAATCCTTGTATAGCTTGAAGACAAGTTATGAGGATAGTGCTGAGAGAATGAGCGACAAACAACACAATTGTCGATTCCCAGAGCTTCAATTCTTTACTCTTCTTTTAATCAAAATGGGAACATCCCAAAAACCACATGAAAAATAATGTAGCATGAAGGCAGTTCCTGCGAGAAAGCTACATGAAAGGTCAATAAATTTGTGTTCTCTGCCTCTACATATCCAATGTCAATAACACAAAATTTTACGTTAGGGTGATCTTATAAAATTTCAAGAGATGAAAATAATTTATCAATAAAACTATTTGAAATATATGAGAATTTAAAATTGACATGGACTCGGTTCATCGGTGTCCAATGCATTGATCAATTATAGTTGCCCAAATTTATGACTAATAAATTCCCAGGAAATATGGTTTTCGGGGGGGGGGGGTGTACGAATACCATCAAATTTGCCTCTAAATTAGTTTATGTTGCATGTTAGGGGAACCTTCATTAAGACTCATTATTCTCCGACTGTAAAAAGGATAAGAAGGTATAAGAAAGATCCAGATGAATGTAGAGATCTGAAAACGTGATGGGTGATTGATAGGTGAGGCCAAAAACAAGTGTAATGAAGGTGTTGTGATGGTGAAGATTTGTCCCCTCATCATTATCCTCATCTGATAAGGTTGAACCTACACCATTTGTGTTGTGTCAGGCAGCCCCATGCACCTTTGTTGCTGCTGCTCTTAGACACTTCAATCTCAATCTCCACCTTAGTCAATGAAATCTCTGCGACGATATGGGAACCTCCAGCAATATCTAATGCCACCAAAAAGTTCGGTTCAAGGCCCTAGAAATTCAAGGCATGAGATGATTGTAGAGGAACCTGAACCACTACAACCCTGGCAAGAAAATCTGGTGGGTATATGGTCAATACATTATCGGAACTCAAAATGGCCTTCCGTCCATCCAATTCTCAGATCGAGCCTACAAACTTATGGAGGATAACATAGTAAGAACAATGATTTTGAAACTTTGGGATGCAATATTGGTCTCAATGCCCTCACGAACAAAACTCGCTCTCTTTGGAAACTTTCTAAATCGTTCACTCTCATGGATCCGGAGAATGATTATTTTCTCGCAAGATTCCAAACCGATGATGATTACATAAAGGTGTTGGTTGAATGTCCTCGGATTATATATGGTCAAGACCTTACGATCCAATCTTGGACAATGGATTTCTGGAATTTCCGATAAAAATAATATTTTTTGTTTTTAAATTTTGAATATTAATATTAAGTGTTTAAATGATTTTTGAAATATTAATTATGATTTTTAATAATAATAAATTAAATTTTTATTAAGTGACTAAATTGAAAATGTTGATTTTACTGACTAAAATGTACAAGGATCACAAATCAAAATTTATGAAGCTAGTTTTACCAAGACTTGTTTGGATGGTTTTTCCTTCAAGTCCTAACCGTATATTTTATCTCTTTTTTTGCCAATTTCCTAGCTAGATTCATTCTCCTAATTCACTCTCATTTTCATTCCTAATTTTCATTAACCGTTCTCTTCATTCTCACATATAAACACTTTTGTAATTCTCTCCAAAATTCTCCCAAAAGCTCTCCCATACTCAAAATTCTTCTTCTTAATTTTCTATTCCTTGTTGTTGGTTCTTACTCCTTTCATCAGGATCCTCTCTCTCCAATCAATATTGATGCACTTTCTTTTCCTCTTGTCATTTTCTCATTTGTTTCTTGGTGTTGCCATTGTTGATCTCTTCATCTTCTTTTCCAGCAAGACAATTCTCATTTCCTTGACTCATTTTTTTGCTTCAACGATTAATGATTCAATATTTTGATGATTTTAATTTATCTATTCTTTTAAAAGAAGCTTGTGAACTAAACTTGATTTTCGGAGGTATTTAATGTGATATTTTTATTGATCACTTTTCAAGGGTTTCTTGTGTTTATTAAGGTGTTTATTATGGTATTATTATCATACCAAATCAGTTTTTCAATTGCATTTGATTTGGACAAGGAATTCTTCAAAACAAGTTTGATTTCGTCGTTTTTCGAAAATATGAGAATTAATGTTAATTGATGTCATTTGTGAGGTTATAGATGAGTTTGTAATAACTTTCGTTTTTCTATCAAAATAATTCTGACTTCTTAATAAAAAAGGGAGATGTAGTATAGAGAAGTAGGGTCGACCACAGGGTCTATAGAGTTTTGATTTAGTAAACTTTTTGATTTAGAAGAAGATAAAATTTCAAATAAATATAAAAGATAGAATAAAATAAATAATTATAATTCGTTTAAAAGGGAAATAATAATAAAAAAATAAATAATAATTATAAGATAATGATAAAGATAAAAAAGGGAGTTTTTAAACCGTTTAAAGAAATATACTGAGATAAAAATTAAATAGACAAATAAATAAATAAATTAAATTGAGATAAAGAAGACTTATAAGAACAACATCAGACTTCAGCTTTGCCTCAAATTCCTCGGATCATCGAAATAGATCTTTACTTCAAGATTCACGTCGGCTATTTGTTTACAAGGACAACTCCGTGTGACTATGCTTTGTACACCGAATATCCAAGTGTACTCTTAAATTTCGGTTTGTGAGTTGATCTAAGAAACAACAATGTTGTAGATCTTAAAAAGTTGAAGTTCGAAAAGTTGTCGACTCGGATTATGTTGTTTCAACAATAATTGATTCCGATCTCAGTTTCCTCTAACCAAACAATTTTTCTAAGTGTGTTCACAGAAAGTCGAATGTGCTTCAATAATCCAATCCTTCTTCCCACGTTGACTATAACAACATCCAGACCAACACTGACTTTTGGTTTTGAAAATTGTTTTGATTTGAAAATAAGCCCAGAAAACATAGAGAAAAATCCGAAGCGATTTAAGTGCCTTACAATTCTCACGTTTGGAATTGAGCCTTCGCTTTAGCCTTCGGCTTAAAAGAAAATTAGCTAAGCATGTCCAGAGTCATACTTAGTATATTTGAAAACAAAACTTTAAAATAAAATAAGTACATTTCAAAAACTTGAAAGAAAATAGTAGAGAAAATTTTATAAAGCTAGAGAGAAAAAGAAGATTAAATTCTCAGATGTGAGAGATGCGTTTCTAGCCTTACCCTGAGAGTGTATTTATAGCCTTCAAAATCCTAAAAATAAGCTAAAGATAATTCCTAAAATAAAGAAATAAATCTTAATTAAAATACTTAAAACTATTTAAACTAAAATACCTAAAACAAAGATAAAATATAATATTTAAAATAATATCCTAAATCCTTATTAAAATACTTAAAACTATTTAAACTAAAACACCTAAAATAACGATTAAATATAATATTTAAAATAATATCCTAAAACATGAGTTTAATTCAAATATGAATTGCAGAAACTTGCGGCTGATCCATTCGTTCTTTTAGAAGCACCGACTGGATCTTCTAGAAGGTCCTGACATCATCGCCTCGTCAGATGTTTCATGCCCAAAGTCATGCCCACTAATCAAGCTTTGATTCTGAAAATAAAAAACTACAGAATTCTTTCTTTTTAGTGCAATTTTCAGAATCTAGCGTCATGCACAGAAAATGAATCAAAACGAACAAATAAGTCATAAAAACCAATGATTAAGGAGTAATTTAAAAGATAAATATTAACCACATAAAGCACTTATCAAATTCCCCCTCACTTATTCAATGCTCGTCCTCAAGCATTCATCAATTAATACATCAAAATCATAAGTTGCAATCTTCAACTTCAATTTATTTCTCA